GAGCACAAGAGAAAGTGTGTGAAAAACCGCGAGAGCATTTGGAAAATTTGCCATGCGACAGATCAGAAACCGCAGCAGCTTCGACTTCCGTTAGGGGGTTTTGCCCAGTCCAAAACAGCAGTTAACTCTTGATAATCTTGAACATGTGGGTACTGATCGTACGTGGTGCGTATATTAACATATCGTTAGTTTCGACATGATCTGATCCGTGGGAAGTTTGCGATCTGCATGCGATCTGCTCTTGGCGGTCTGGTTCTAAATCAGCGGAAACTCCAACTAGCATTCGGATTTGCTTGAACAAGCAAAGGGCTAAAGGCCAAATTTATGCAAATTCCTTGAACGAAAACATATTTTCTGACAAACCAAATGTCATAATTGTATCGTAATTATTATTTATGCTGTCATGCCTGATTATAAATGTCTCTCAATCGATGTTTGCCAAAAGTATTACGTGCTGTGATCAACCCTAAGATTGAAATCAACGCCATTGTAGGGTGTTATCTGCGATCAAATAATCATAATTTTTATTTGCATAATTTCATAATTCTAATACAATACCAACTGTATGACAGTACGATGATATAATGTTAAGATGCTACGTGCCTGGCGATAGAGAGATTGCTTTCAAACTACCTATAGATTTTCTATAGAGCACACTAATAAACGAAAGCCATATATCAATATGAAGGCAAAGCCATGGAACCAGTTTATTCTATATAAACACTAAACGTAATGAACACATTACCCAACACAATTAAACATAGGACATTTGTCAGCTGGAAACCAAACCAACAACTTATCAAATTCTGATATCTTGAGAAATTGGCCAAACAAGTTTTATTGACTTTTCTTCAAACGGCGATTGATTTTGCGAATATCTGCACAAATTTTGGCACAAAAGTTTCGGCTATAATGATTCAAACGATGAGCTTTACAAAGTGTGGGATAGATTGAATAAGATAAAGGAATTGAAAAAGATAAAGAAGCTCGGTATATATAGATGATATAATGCTATATTTATGATATGCAGAGCTGGATTTGCTCTGCGATAACCAACTCTAGTTCTGATAGTTTCTGATATTAATTATATGCACAACTTTATAGTACCAGTTAGTTAATTTAATGGTTACGGGGCATTAACACATTATTAAAGCACCTCTAGAAATATTTCAATATTCTCGACTTGATTAGTTCCAAGACGTTTGGCTGCCCTTACATAACTATAACGAATTGTGCTACCCCTTCCCAATATTCATAAACTATTGTAAGTATTAACGACTTCAGCTGTTTAAGTATATAAAAACTTGAAAAGTCATTGCAATTAATGAATAAATTACCATTGTTCGGTTGGCTAACAAAAACTGGCCCGTTGATACATGGGCTCAAGCGACGTATTACAGGCCAAATCTAAGCATTTCAGACATTTATTCATTAATGGCCAAGCTGAAGCCGCTGCCGCTGGCTAACAAATAATCAGTCACAATATGTTTTGTATAAAAATGAAATATTGAAAAATTGTCTATAAAGCGTCAGGCCTTATCTTTGTGGACCAAAATGGTATATCAGATAATTGTTAGCGCATCCCAAATGCAAATTATTCACACATAATAACAATAACAAAGATGACAAAACACAAGACAAACAAAACGGCAAACAGCAAACCAAAAATAAAGCAAGAAATCGCAGATACTTTTTATGCGATGTCGAAGTTTTGATACCCTTACATATATAAACTTATTTGGTATGGTTCACAATTTTGGAAGATAATTAAAGAGGGAGTAAAAAAAATGGAAATCGAATAAAATCGTTTAAGTAATAAAATATATATAATACATTTTCGGTGGATTTTTCTTAATGATATTTTTATATATTATATAAATTATTAAAATAAAGAAGGAGAGATATATGAAAAGATAGACAGATTTTAACTTGGAAATATTTTTAAGTGCTACATATGCTGAGACAAATTTATATTACCCGTCGGCAAGGGTATTGCCAAAGTAAAGTAACTAAGCAATCATCTAGCTAGCGAGCTGTTAAATCAAAAATATGCAAATTGTTTCGAGAGCCACACGAGCTCAACACGAGCTACAGCCACAGCTATACGAACAGAGACAGATACAGATACAGATACAACTACAGCTGTTGTAGATACAGATACAAAGTGTCTGTTGATTGATATGTGCTGTTGTTATATGGCCGTTTGGCCAAATGATGCAATCAAACTATGTAAATGCGAACGAGTTAACTTTTTGACTTTTGTATCGCTCGAAACGGGGCAGGTAACAAGCAATCCGGCCTCAACTTGAGGCCTAATGCTAACCAATAGTCGTATTTAGTAGCTGCCTGTCATTTCCGACTCGCAGTTTTGTTATTTTTGTACATTTTTTTATGGCCAATTAAAAAGTTGACTCTTTTTTAACCGTAAAGTCAAAAAGTCAACGCATTTTTTAACGTGCACCGTTTTTTAGCATACAAATGCACATATATATAGGTATACATGTTTTTTTAAGGCGGAAAGATCTGGTCTATGTGTGTCCTTGGCTTCGTTCTGTGGAATTCTGCACGCATTTTTTACGCAACTCTCTAGGGCAATTGACTTTTTTATGGATGCTACCAGTACGCTTAACGGTAATTTCGAGTTGCTGCAACCAGCAAAAAACAATATTACAAGCCATATGCCTCGGCTCGCTTGGGCAAGGAGTCAGTCATCCCTTTTCCACTTAAGCGGAAAGTGTGATCTGCGGCTCGGGTTACTCGGCCTGCTCGACTTTTTATGGTTCCGCTGACTTTATGACTCGTCGCTTGCTGGCTTTTTTAGGCCAATTTTTGCGGCTACCTAAGCACGCGATTCTGTTACCTAATCGCTGGATCAGCATACCTAAGCTGCAGATTATCCTAGGATCATAATTATGATGAGCCAGCCCGTCGACGCGCCGCGCGTTCAACTCGTCGACATCCTTGTTCTTTTTCGCGAGTTCGAGAACTCAAAAACCGAACCGCTATTTATTTTTTTGTTGTGTCTTGTGCTGTGCATGCAAAAAACTTAAGCCGGGGGATTAAACCGGATTAAAAGTCGCAATGTCGCACCGTTTGTCCTTATTTTTCAGTTTTTTGTCGTGCTTTCCTTTCGGGCTAACTAATTAAGCGGGAAAATTACCCATTTGCTTTGTGCCCAGCAAACTGCGGAAATTCGCGAAATTTTTACGAAACATTTTCGTTCGCCCTCTCTTTTTTATTTGTTTTATTATTGCTGTGTGTGAGCAGGGAAAAAAACGAAAAACGCAAACGGGCAAAGTCAGTTAAATTGAATCGATTAGAAAAGAAGATGTTGGAAGGCCGCAAAGTCCCGGGCTTGGGTTCTATATTCTCTGACTTTTTTGCAAGCCTTTGTTGCATTTTTACCGTGGACTTACGTGGAATATGCCATTCTGTTGGGTTGATGCAATATTCTGTTTTCTTTTTTATGGCTAAAGGCAGGAGCGTATGTTGAGGTTAGGTTGCTGCTGTGGTTATCGTAGCTAAATGTAATCGCAGTTAGGGAACTACTGAAAAATTGTTCTAAGAAAATTCAGACTTTAGTGGTAAAATATCCAATTTTGTGTATTAGTAAATGTACTTGTATTAGTGAGCTTTTGATTGAGAAGTTTTCTGCGCTCTGTTTAAGCTGCGCTTTAAGCTTTGTAGCGTCTGTGTCCACGAGCGACATACGAGTGCGAAAGCTTGTGTCTCTACCAAAGATCTCTTCCTCACAAACCGCATTTTACTAGGTTTCACACTTTCTCCATTGTGTTCTTTAATGTTCGAGACAAAGGATAACATAAAAGGGTTAATGTGTGCGTCCTAGCCAGGTAGTTCAGTAGCTCGAAGCAAATATAATGAAGGTGCATAAAAAGAGTTAACTTATCCTTTGTAAAGAGAAAAGGGCTGTTGATTCTGGAAAGGATTGTTTCTCTAGCGGCAATAAAACTGAGAACTAAAGTCAATTGATAATAAAGAAGAGTTCATTTAAGAATTTTCGGTGGCTAAGGAATTTTGTGGGTTATAAGTAAAACAGAATATTACATTCAGACACATTTTTTACAAAAGAGTTGTAACTGGTTAGAAAACTACCGACTCTTGAAAAGTTTAAAAATTGGAATAATATATTTTGAAAATTAAGTGCATTTGGAATTCAATTAATTAAGCGAAGTGTATTATATCCGAAAGAAGCCATTATAGTAATTAACAATAAATATACAAATGAACTTAAACCAAGAGAATATTGCAAAAATATAATTTATATTTTAGAGCATACATTTTTTTATACTTAAATGCCATCAAAGCTTGTCAAACAATTAAATTAATCCAAATCGAACACTTTAAACGGTTTCTCTGCTTATATAAACCTAACCTCTCATAGTATAAGTTAGCAACTTCAACAGTTAAAGGCTCCGCCCATGCTAAATAAAATGAGCAAATGTTAAAAATGAAGTCAATGGCTGTGTATGTGTGTGTGTGCGTGTGTGAGTGCAAGAAAGCTTAGTTGCCCTTAACGTGCGAGTTTTAATAAATAACCGAATAACGAATAATATCAGAGCAATGCAAATTGAGCGGGCTCCAAACATGAGCGAGCGCGCGCCAGTGAGAGAGAGAGAGAGAGAGAGAGAGCGAGAGCAGCTCATTCATTGAATACTAACAGTGCGGCTAACAGCGCATTAACAGCGACTCAGACAGTGACTGCGACTCAGGTAAACTGAAGTCGTGAGAGCGCTGCACCATTGAGTGCAATCGATTTACGCTCTGCTGTTGTTGTTGTTGGTGGTGGTGGTGGTAGTAAATACATGAGTACGCGATCGAGTCAGATGCTGAGACTGTGATTTATCAGAGAGCTACAAAAACACGTTACTGCTGCTAGTGGTGGTGTGTTTGTGTGTGTGATTGGAGTACTGCTAGCTGCTCTTGTTGCATGTATATAGAGACTGGGAGTTGGCCAACCGAGCGACACACAGAAATGCTTCTTTCCAGCGCCGAGTTTGAGCAAGAAATCAGTCGTCAGCTAGTAGCCCAGGTGTGAGTTACACACATCGTGAGTACAGAGCGCGTTGCGTGTATTTTAAGCCGAAACAGAGAACCACTTCAAACAGTTCCCAACGTTAAATTCTACGCAGCGAGTGTTAAGCAAACCCAAAAATAAAATTCAACAAAATTTAAACAGACAGAGACTGATCCACACAGATCGCATAGTGCTAAAAAAAGTGTTGTGAAAATACAAACTAAAATCTTAAGAAACTGCCACGTGCAATTAAAAAGTCATCAGCTATAAAACACACGACTTCTATACGCAAAAACCCTAACAGAAGAACCCAAGGTAAGTTTGCAAGATCAGTGAGGAAAAAAACAACAAAAAAAACACGCCCACACCCAAAGTCAATTCACGTTTTGTTTTTGTCTTCATTTGTTTTTTTTTACTTTTCGGACGGGTCGCAACCAACGGCATATTTTTATGAGCCCTGTTTGCACTACTTTGATTTTTTACTATTTCATGCGAAAAAATTGACACAGACACCCGTACACCCACATACACACACGTACACACTCCGCACTCAGTGCAGGCGAACATCTTTATACATTTTTTTTATTTGGGCGCAAAAAAATTGCCAGCATATTTTTATGACACAACGTCAAGGTCTAGGACTCTATATAATTTTTTAGGCGTAATGACTTCATGTAAAAAAACACGCCCACACACACACACGCACACACAGACAACGTTTTCTACCTGCACAAATTGAAACAACGCATAGGGTTGCATAATTCCCGGCAGCTTAAGTTTTTTGCCTGCCCACGCAGATGATCATAAAAAAAAGAAACCGTGTCTCAATGTTTTGACAATTTTCGCCAACTATTTCCTATAAATTCTTGTGCCAGGAGTAGCTCGAGCATCAGTCACACAGCAGCGCAGCAAACGAACAGAACGCGGAAAACGATACGAAAAGTGACGGAAATTCGAAAAATTATTCGCAACAACATTTAAAAAACAAACACAATTATCTATATTAATTGATAAAGTTGGCTAGCTGCCAAAATGGTGTTCAACTTGGTTAGTTTCTAGACAGCTAAAAAGCACGCACAAAATGGATTATCAACTGAACTGAACCCACTCAGAAAAGTGCAAAAATTGCGAGTGAAAAAAATTAAATAATTAAAGGAATATACAAAATAAAATAAAAAAGTGAAATATCAAGCCAAAATATATATATCAAGACGAAACCAATCAAAAAAAATAGTTTTGACTGCTATTTCATACCCAGTACTTGCACTTTTCTCAGTGGACAGCTCTTTTAAAATAGGCTGTGTTTTTCGTTATCAATGGATTAAGCTTATGCTAAAGTTATATTTCTCTTCTTAACTCAACAGATGAATCAGACGTGCAAAGTGTGCGGTGAGCCAGCGGCGGGCTTTCATTTTGGCGCCTTTACATGCGAGGGCTGCAAGGTAAGTTGCGCATCTATGCAAACACACAGCAAATCACTTGGCGCTGTTTGGCTATTTGTGACCCGTTTAGCTAATCCAATGCCCTGCCATCTCTCCCTTTCTCTAAACCACAGTCATTCTTTGGACGCTCGTACAACAACATAAGCACCATTAGCGAGTGCAAGAACGATGGCAAATGCATCATTGATAAGAAGAACCGGACCACGTGCAAAGCCTGCCGTTTGCGCAAGTGCTACAATGTTGGCATGTCCAAGGGCGGCTCGCGTTATGGACGTCGCTCCAACTGGTTCAAGATACACTGTCTTCTGCAGGAGCACGAACAGGCAGCCGCTGCAGCAGCTGGGAAGGCGCCGGGTCATGGCACCGGCTCGCCAATGAGCTCACCCGGATTTGGTGACTTGGCCGCGCATCTGCAGCAACAGCAGCAGCAGCATCAACAGCAGCAACAACAACAGCATCAGCATCAACAGCAACAGCAGCGTCATCCACATCTGCCGCCGCTGCTTGGCTATACCGGCTACCATTTGCCGGAGCACTTTGGTGCACGCCATCCGGCTGATGCAGCCGCTGCCGCCGCCGCATTGCCCTTCTTCAGCATGATGGCCACACCACAGTCGGCATTCCAGCTGCCGCCGCACTTGCTATTCCCGGGCTATCATGCCAGCGCTGCTGCGGCTGCTGCTGCGGATGCTGCCTATCGCCAGGAGATGTACAAGCATCGCCAGAGCGTGGACTCCGCTGCCTCGGCCGAGTCGCACAGCCGCTACACGCCGCCAACTGTGGCAACAGTGGCTCAGCCGTCACAGCCACAGCCAGCGGCATCGCCCATTGACGTCTGCCTGGGCGCTGACGATGATGTGCAGTCACAGCATAGCCACAGTAACAGTCACAGTCACAGCCAGAGTCAGAGTCCACACACCATACACACACCAGTTGCCATACGCGCCACACCGCCGCAGCAGCTGCTGCCTGGTTTGACGACCGCCTCGCACTCCAGCTCCGCCTCGCCCACACCCATCAAATCGGAGAGCAGCAGCCCATTGAGCTTTACGGCCAAAATGCAATCACTTTCACCTGTCTCCGTGTGCTCCATTGGCGGAGAAACAGCAGCAGCCAATTCAGCGGCCTCGGCAGCCGCTGCCGCACAAGATGGACCCATGGATCTGAGCATGAAAACGTCGCGCAGTTCGGTGCACAGTTTCAATGACAGCGACGTGTGCAGCCTGCAGGATGAGCATGAGTTGGCGCCGCGTCGCAAATACTATCAGCTGGAGGCCGAATGCACCACCATTACCAACACCACCAACAGCTGCAGCAGCAGCAGCACCAGCAGCAGCACCAGCTCCACATCCTCCACAGAGGCAGCCGTTGCCGTCAAGCGGCAAAAGCTCAACCCCATTGGCGGTGAGTCGCCGCCGTTTGGCGGTTTCGCTGTGACCCACAATGCGTCCAGCGCCATGCGCAGCATCTTTGTGTGTGTCTAGTGTGGTTGTGGGTGGAGCCAAAAGGCAATCAACTCATTTGCCTCGTCGTCGTCGTCTGCGTCGTTGTTGTTGTTGTTATTTTTTCTCCGTTTAGTGTTGTTGGTATATATATTTTTTTTGTATTTTTATCTTTTCGTGTGCGGTTTGAATTCGATTTGCGCCGTCGAAATTGAAATTTTTATGGACAGGTTTGAGAGCTGCGCCTGCGCTTAGAGAGTTGAAAAGAGACAGCTATTGCTGCAGCAAACAAACACACACACACACACAAACACACACACTATTGAGCTCAAATCCAAAAATTATTTTTACAAAAGAAAATGAAAAAAGTTTTAAAGTTTTTGTTTAATAGTCGCTAATTGTATATATGTTTTTTAATATTAAATTTAACTAAATGCGAATTGTATTTTATAGAAACAACATGTAAGCCCTAAACCCAATCCAATCACAAAAAAAAACTACAAAAAAAAAAACTACAAAAAACAAAAACATGTAAGCAAAACCCAACCCACCAAAAAGAGCCCTCAATGTATTGTACATAAAATTTGTTTAGTCCTAGTTTGATTTTATTATTGATAAGTATTCTATTCTAGTTTTTAGTATTTGTCCTAAAGATTGGCTTTTAAATTGATGCAAGAAAAATAAATTAATTTGAAAATGATATATATTACAACTTTTATTTATGGCTGGGCCTTAAACGATCCGGTTTTATATTTCATTTGGAACTGAACCTTCAAAGAAAAGCATATAAATTAAATATTATATTAAACAAGGTAAAAACAAGTCGAACACCTTGAATATATTTTTCTTATTTACAAAATAGAAATATAAACTCGGATAGAGATTTGGAAGAATCATGAGATTCAATGAAACGATATTCTACCTTTTATTTATTTTTTTAGACAGCCTTTTATTTAGCTACTCATTTTCCATTTATGGACTATTTCATTATATTTTATCTCAGTATGTGAAAGAAAATTTGATAATATTTATAAATCTGCGAAAAAGCAAAAAAAGAGCTATTAAATACCTGCAAAATTGATTTGATATAAATACAATTCATATTTTAAGATTATAATGATATATTACTTTTATTTATTTGGAAATTTAATCGTGAGCCGTTTATTTATTGTTGAAGGGTGTCTATTTAAGTACAAAAACAAGTTGTGATTTGATTTGGCCAAAAAGCATTTGCTGTCAAAATTCTATTCAAGCTTTAGAGCTCTCGCATTCTACGATACGATACGATCGATTCCATTCCAGAATTGATTGCCACGCGGCGAGTTTACTTTGTACTCAATCGTGGCGTTTGTATCTGAGACACGGGCGACAATTGGGGCGTGGCCAGAGGGGGGCTGGCGTTGTCAACGCCAAATGGGTTGGCATAAATTCATCAACGTAGCGACTGAAACATTTGTTGCAAGTCGATCGTCGATCGTCGATGGGCGATGGACGATGGGCGATAATAAAACCGATATAGTAATGCTTAAGTGCCGGTCTGCCGTCTAATGCAATGATTGCTGTAAATTAAAAATGCCACAAATGTTACGCACAGATATTTGTCGTGAGGCCCCCGCTGCTTGATATGCTGTGGCCAGCATTATGGGTCTATGGCAGCTACACTCAGAAAACAATTTACTTCAAAATAACAACATGGCCGGAATGGAATCTCTAGCGAAAAGCTATATAAAGTAGGTAATTAATATGAGTGCCAAATATCTAGATTTTAGATAAATTGTACTTGTTTTATGCGATAACCAACCCAAATGGTCGGTTTATTTCTCTCAGTGCATGTATCCAGTAGTCGTACTTATATGGGCTACTTGATGTTTGCATTGAGCCCGAAAAAGAGGCCTATAGACTGACTGACTGCGAGTCAACCACGTGCTGCTTCAAATAATAAACTTTATATTAGCACATACAAAAGTCATACGCCTCGGCGTCGGTCAGAATTTTAATCACTTAATTAGGCAGTCGTCGAACAGTCGCCCCCGAACTTTGTTTATGGGCTGCCCCAGACCAGACCAGACCCCAGACCAGACCACAGAGCCGCCAATGATGAATGGTACGAAAACTATGCAGGATCGGACAATGCGACAATCTGACGATCGGACGATCGAACGATCGAACTGCCTGCAAATATCGTTTACGAGCACATTGTAAAATGTGGCTATGTCAGAAAAGTTGACGCCTTAACGGACGACAATAAACAATGAACTGAACCCGAGAGAGCAACGCATGTCATCAATATGCATGATGAGCTGCTTGAGAAGGTGGTGCTGTTGGTGGTGGTGGTGGTGGTGGAGTTGGTGGTGGGTGCAGGGGCCAGCCGGGGCGGGTTGGCTCTCTTAAAGCCAGCGCACGCCATTGTGCGTTTTGTTTTATTTGTTGTTGTCTTAACTGCCGCCCGATCACATTCCAATGCGTGTTTTGTCGTCATTGTTTCTAAATTTATTTTTATAGTTTATTAAACAGTCAATAGTAGCACAAAACCAACCAAAATTACGAACTAGCTACAGTGGGGCGAAGCTTTCATACCCTAGCCGACGCAACTAAAAGACAAAGTGTGGTAAAATATTATAATGGATAACAATCACAGTATGTGATTTCCTTTTCATTCTCGACTGGTTAAAGCTCAATTTTAGCTTAACCCCAAGAAAAGCTCACCCGCAACTTATTTTTTTTTTAGATATAGTATTAACAATATAAACATTTTTGATAGAAATAAATCGATAGATCAACTGTCAGCTGCAGAAATACGAAATGTATATAGCTAGACAAGTTCGTTGCCTAAGTCTTTTGTTTTCTTGACTTTTTTAATTTTCATTTTCAGCTGTCAAACTGAAAAAGTGGTTCATTTGTATCGCTGCTCCAATCTCTCCAATCAAAAAGCCATTTAGAGAACAAATGCCAACCAGACGGGCCAAGAAAATAAAATCGATGCGACAAAGAAAACAAAATGAAAAGTATAACATTTCAAAATTTTATTGACTGTCAAAATGCAGGCGCCAAAATGCATTGACCGATACGGGAAGATGGAAACAAGGTAGAAAACAAGCGGGTCCGATCAAATTACGCTAGCCCATTGGCGCCAGACTCCAATGCTGGGCCTCAGCGCCAACCTTAGCTGAGCGTTGAGAGGCATTTAAACGCTTCAAAATGGTTTATTATGTATGCGACATGAAAGATGCATTATTAATAGAGTTACGACTCAGATATCTATGTATCTATATATATATATATATATATGTGCTTGTGTGCACTTTTCAGAGTTAGTTATGAGCACATCTTTAAAAATAGTGCACAACAGCTGGTGTTTTATCTAGTCGTAGCCACTGCCTTGACTTTAAAGTATTCCCTATAGTTGTGAACATGCTTATTAAATTATATATTTAATTGCTTGGCGCGCAGTTCTTATAATGCATCATCTAATCAGCCGTTAAGAATTTGCATTTGAAACTGACAGCGAACGAAAAATTATTGACATATGATAATGGAAACATGTTTTAATGAGAAATTATGCAAAACATGGCCAGCACACACTCACTCACACACACACACACATACACACACTGAGCAATTTTTCAACTCGGTTGGTTTCTGTGTCCGGTAGCGGCCTTAATTACTGTCCAAAGCTTCCTATAGCAGCCCATAGCTAACCATAGTTTCTACAGTTTCTATATGCCATGTTTGGGGCGTGTTACGCTGTCTGACAAATAGTCAAAACAAACTAAGTATATGATGGTATGTCATATCTTTTTGTAGACAGCTGCCAGAGAATCGCTTTTATGTGCACGCGTGTGTGTGTGTACGCTGAAGAGCCAGAGATCGTATTATTAAGATAAACTCCAAGTTGATGCCAAGCAAGTGTCAGCTAGACAATGCAGGAAGTAATTGCTATATAATGGAAATAACATACAAATAGCCTATAAAATATATACACATAGCATGGCTTTTAAAGGGGACTTTATACAAAAATTATTTCGAAATAAATCATATTTTTGGCAGATTTCTGTATATTGCAGCTTAAATATTTTATTTTAATATTAATGACTTCTTTGGAAGAATTCCTTTATAATTGTAAAACACTTTGATTGATTTGCCTAATAAATTGATTTTCATTTCCGATGGAAATTTGTTACTTTTTGCTAAGAATCGAAGTGCTATATAAAAGAGCTATCATTAAGTGTAAATCTTGTCAATTCCACGTAATATTTAAAGCTGTCGAACAGGTCTAAAAGAGAGGTCAGGCGATCTATAGCATTAAGGCATCCAAAATACACACATCAATTTGAGTTACTGCATTTGAATGCCATCAAAAGCTATCGAGTAACGGCCAGCTCCATTGTTTCACGGCAGCGGCAAGAGAACGACATTAACCCATTTAAGGGCCGCCGAAAGTTAAGCAAACACTGGACCACAATCTGGGAACGATCTTTATTGATTTTGGATGCCCACAAACAAACTTGAGGTGCACATTTTGAAGTTTCATGGCAAGCGAGCGGCGCTTGGCTCACACGATGCTCTCGGGTTGTCGAGGAGCAGTTGAAGGAGGGGAGAATTTTTTCAGTTTTGTAGCTTTGGCTGGCGCTGGTAATTAGTGATCTGGTGCACTTGATATCCAGCTTAATTTAAACATTTCGTACACACCCAGAGCCATGCACACGCACTCCAACAAATCTGCTGTAGCACAGAGTGCAGGTACCGCATTTTCACCTCACCGCGCCCGGCCACAGCAGCTGCCAGTCACAGTTCGCAGTTCCCAAGTTTTTTTTTGCAGTTCCAGAGCCCTTTTTCGAGCTGCGTGCAGCGCATGCCACTCGCTCGTTGTTGTTGTTGTTGTTCGCTTCATTTTGTTGTGTTCTCGTTTAAACGTTTATTTAACTTAAACGAACTTTGCGTGTCGATTAAAATGCAGCGATTAAGGTACGATGCTCAACATCCAGGCCCACAGATCTCAGAGGACTGGCCACAGCCGCAATCGCAGTCTCCTCTGTCTTGTGTCTTGATCATTTCTGGCTCGACTCCAGTGCGTGTCCAGTGAACTTGCGGGTCAAGCTCAAGTCAAGCTTACGCATGCCAAGTTGGGCGCATTAGCAGCATCCAAAAATGTATCTGTATCTGTGACTGTGAATGTATCTGTATTTGTGTGCGAGTGCTTGCTTGACCTGCGAGTAAATCCTTTAGCTTGCCTCTGGCACCCAGCACTTTCTCAGCGTTCAGCCTGCTCTTAACGACAAATTTGCCCATTGTTCTGGCTGATGATGTCCTTTTGTCTTGTTCTCGTGTTTATGAAGGTGTGTGTGTGTGTGTGTAGAGGGCCCCCCTGGAACGCAACAGGACCACAGACCGCACACGGCTGCTGCGCCACAAATATTAATTTGTGCTTCCAGCACCTTTCGAACGATCTTTTCAGTCTTTCCTAACGAGTCCAGAGAGCTGCGAGATGCTTATCGCAATCGTATTGTAGATCTGGCCATTTGCTTGTGTTTTTTTTTTTTTTTTTTCTTGTATTTTT